CACATCTCACATCTCCCCGACACATCTCACATCTCCCCGACACATCTCACATCTCCCCGACACATCTCACATCTCCCGTAAAGGATAGCAAGGGCGCATGCATTCCACTGTGGTATACTAGTGTAGTGCTGTCGCTACCCAAAGCATCAGTGGACTCAATAGTGTCAATGCAACGTTCGAAAAGAAAGATTTACATCAATCTTATCAGGATGTACCAGCGTGCTCCTCGAACTGCTCTCGATAAAAGAATTCACAATTATTATATTTTACTTTTGTACAATGTTTTACTTTCAGGCGTATCTATTGATTTATTCATATCACTGAATATATGAATATATCTTTGTTTCAATGCGTCCGATTAAAAATTTAAAAAAAAAATTCTTCCTATAATCACTTTTTTCCTGTGACTTTTGGTTCCAATGACTGATATTTAGCATATAATATAATAAATAGATATACTGTATATGGATTTACAAATAACTTAAAGGTTACTAAAGAGTTTTTCTGTGACATTTTTCTATGTGACTTGTGAGTACTTGTCCCCCCCCCCTCTTTTTACAATTATGTTTGGGGTTGGGGGGGGGGGGCCGCAGTCAGTTCTGACAAGGTGTGGCAGACTTCATATAACTTAATCATACCGTCAGAGTTCTACGTCACAGATTTATGCCGTCGTTACTTAAAGGCGACGTAGAACTGAATCACCAAACAATGACGCGTTGATCTGAGTGTGAACACGCCATGGGAAAACACCATTAGTCTGCAGGGGTAAACACCGCACAAGAGAGTCTTTGTTTTTCTGTACTGCTAGACGCTGATACAAACCTGACAATTTGCTCATTTGTTCGTGGGATAGCGTGGGATTGTGTTTGTTCATGGGATAGCGTGGGATTGTGCTTGTTCATGGGATAGCGTGGGATTGTGCTTGTTCNTATCACTGAATATATGAATATATCTTTGTTTCAATGCGTCCGATTAAAAATTTAAAAAAAAAATTCTTCCTATAATCACTTTTTTCCTGTGACTTTTGGTTCCAATGACTGATATTTAGCATATAATATAATAAATAGATATACTGTATATGGATTTACAAATAACTTAAAGGTTACTAAAGAGTTTTTCTGTGACCTTTTTCTATGTGACTTGTGAGTACTTGTCCCCCCCCCCTCTTTTTACAATTATGTTTGGGGTTGGGGGGGGGGGGGTCGCAGTCAGTTCTGACAAGGTGTGGCAGACTTCATATAACTTAATCATACCGTCAGAGTTCTACGTCACAGATTTATGCCGTCGTTACTTAAAGGCGACGTAGAACTGAATCACCAAACAATGACGCGTTGATCTGAGTGTGAACACGCCATGGGAAAACACCATTAGTCTGCAGGGGTAAACACCGCACAAGAGAGTCTTTGTTTTTCTGTACTGCTAGACGCTGATACAAACCTGACAATTTGCTCATTTGTTCGTGGGATAGCGTGGGATTGTGTTTGTTCATGGGATAGCGTGGGATTGTGCTTGTTCATGGGATAGCGTGGGATTGTGCTTGTTCATGGGATAGCGTGGGATTGTGCTTGTTCATGGGATAGCGTGGGATTGTGCTTGTTCATGGGATAGCGCGGGATTGTGTTTTTTTTGTTCGTGGGATAGCGTGGGACTGGGTTTGTTTGATTGTGTGTAAGCGTGAAATTGAGTTTGTGTGTTTGTGAGTAGGGTGAGATTGTGTTTGTGTGTAGCGTGATATTGTGTTTCTATGTTCATGGGTAGCATGAGATTATGTTTATATGTTCATGGCTAGCATGAGATTATGTTTGTATGTTCATGGGAACCGTGAGATTGTGTTTGTGTGTTCGTAGGTATCGTGAGATTGCAATACAATCAAAAGGTATTTCCATTTGTTTGGATCAATATCACGAGATTTTGTTTGTGTGCCATGGATACCGTTATTTGGTGTGCCATGGATACCGTTAGTTGGTGTGCCATGGATACCGTTAGTTGGTGTGCCATGGATACCGTTAGTTGGTGTGCTATGGATACCGTTAGTTGGTGTGCTATGGATACCGTTAGTTGGTGTGCCATGGATACCGTTAGTTGGTGTGCCATGGATACCGTTAGTTGGTGTGCTATGGATACCGTTAGTTGGTGTGCTATGGATACCGTTAGTTGGTGTGCCATGGATACCGTTAGTTGGTGTGCCATGGATACCGTTAGTTGGTGTGCCATGGATACCGTTAGTTGGTGTGCCATGGATACCGTTAGTTGGTGTGCTATGGATACCGTTAGTTGGTGTGCCATGGATACCGTTAGTTGGTGTGCCATGGATACCGTTAGTTGGTGTGCCATGGATACCGTTAGTTGGTGTGCCATGGATACCGTTAGTTGGTGTGCCATGGATACCGTTAGTTGGTGTGCCATGGATACCGTTAGTTGGTGTGCCATGGATACCGTTAGTTGGTGTGCCATGGATACCGTTAGTTGGTGTGCCATGGATACCGTTAGTTGGTGTGCCATGGATACCGTTAGTTGGTGTGCCATGGATACCGTTAGTTGGTGTGCCATGGATACCGTTAGTTGGTGTGCCATGGATACCGTTAGTTGGTGTGCCATGGATACCGTTAGTTGGTGTGCCATGGATACCGTTAGTTGGTGTGCCATGGATACCGTTAGTTGGTGTGCCATGGATACCGTTAGTTGGTGTGCCATGGATACCGTTAGTTGGTGTGCCATGGATACCGTTAGTTGGTGTGCCATGGATACCGTTAGTTGGTGTGCCATGGATACCGTTAGTTGGTGTGCCATGGATACCGTTAGTTGGTGTGCCATGGATACCGTTAGTTGGTGTGCCATGGATACCGTTAGTTGGTGTGCTATGGATACCGTTAGTTGGTGTGCCATGGATACCGTTAGTTGGTGTGCCATGGATACCGTTAGTTGGTGTGCCATGGATACCGTTAGTTGGTGTGCTATGGATACCGTTAGTTGGTGTGCCATGGATACCGTTAGTTGGTGTGCTATGGATACCGTTAGTTGGTGTGCTATGGATACCGTTAGTTGGTGTGCTATGGATACCGTTAGTTGGTGTGCCATGGATGCCGTTAGTTGGTGTGCCAACTTTTTTCCCCCCTAATCCTTTATTTTAAACAATTCTTTACAGGTGCACCGCTGTTTTCAACTACCAAGACTTAGTATGACATCGTCGAAACAGTCCTAGCACTACGGTGTTGAGATGGTGCTGCGGTACATGCCGAGGGTTCTCAAATGGCTAAGATGGTACGTTTTTCTGTGTCAAAATACATTTTTTTTCTTTTTAGTCATGGTGTGTTCATGTCTGAATAAAAAAAAATATGAATCAGTACCGCAGCGAGGAGATGGAAACGGGAAATGAGACAGGCCATCTCTCTGTCGACTTGTGCCTAGTGACGTCAGAGCGGAAGAAAGCTCATGTGTGTGAGACCATTCGGAGTGGGGAATGAGGGGGGGAAGATGAGGGATGGGTGGTGATGGGTGATGAGGGGTGGGTGTTGATGAGGGAGTGATGAACGATGGGTGGTGATGAAGGGTGATGAAGGGTGATTAGGGGTGGGTCATGATGAGTGGTGAGGATGTGTGGTGATGCGTGGTAATGGGTAATGATGGGTGGGGATGATGGGTGGGGATGAGGGGTGGCTGATGTGGGATGGTGATGATGGTTGGTGATGGTGATAAGGGGTGGGTGATGTGGGATGTGATGATGGGTGGTGATGAGTGGTGTTAGATGAGGGAGGACGTGGGATGGTGATGATGGGTGGTGATGAGGGGGTCTGGTTGTAGGATGGGTGGTGATGAGTGGTGGGTAATAATGGGTGGTGTAAGATGAGGAGAGGGGGTATGTGCGATGGTGACGGTGGGTGTGGAGGATGGGTGGGGTGTCCGAAAAATGTTCGCTGCGCAACAAATGAGAGAGTATGAACACGATCAAATTGAATATCTGTGTGTTCCGTAGATCTGTTTTGGCTCATTGATTTGTTTGTTGTTGTCGGCTACTTAATGAATGACGAGTTGCATACACCTGTACAAGGCAAAGCCGAGGAAAAGCGGCGCCAGTGGCCAAGGTTGAAACTGGCGCCCTCAACATATAGAAAAAAAATTGCTGGCCTCGCGGACCAGTAAAAGAAACCATTTCGGCGCCACTTCGGCGCCACTTTGGTGCCACTTTGGTTTCACTATTCAGGTCCGATCTAAAAACGAGTTTGGTGACGCCCATGACGAATGCCCCCCTCCCAGCCCCCCCCCCCTCCGCGGCTTTGCATCTGTATGAAAGTTAAGTCAATAATTAGACTTTAGAAAGCCAAGTACCGATAATTACCCTGTTCTTGTTTTCTTTCCATCCACAGATGTGCAACAGGAAGCTGGTTCGGCTGGCGTTCTTCATGCTCCCCGCCACCTTCTTGTTGATGGCATATCGTCTCTACAGCTCTTATCCGGGCGAGTCCAAGCTGTTCGCTGCAGGGAAAGGAAGTCCTTCTCAACGGCTCACTAACCACGACACGGGCTTAGGTTCGGATCACGCTAAACCCCTCGCTCAAAATGGAATCGCCGGTGAACCGCCGCCCCACCGGATTCCGGACTATGCGGACGCGGAGCTGTCGAAAAATTTCATGGACATCAATAAAATGGACGCGGTCTTGGTGAAAGCTTTGGATGCGAACGGCTCCAGGACAGGTGGACGTGCGGTGGATTTGAAAGATTTTCAGTATCCGGAGGTCGGATACCGTTACCAAAACGTTGTGCCCCAATCGCCGGACGAGCAAAGCAAAATTGGTCGGAAAAATTCATTCGGTGAGGCGGTGAACGATGTTGCGAAAATCAAGGCAACCGCGGGTCTACGGGGAATCTCCGATCGGCCGAAACAAAATTCGGGAACACCCGAGACTCCAAGACAGAAACAAGTGAAAAATTCCGTCACAGCATTACAGAACAAAATCGTGCTCCCTCCAGCGATCGACACGCTGCGATCCCAGGGCCCCCTGCCGTCTCGGTACGTCGTCTACCTGTGCGACTCCTCCAAGCTGTGCGGGGGCTGGGGGGACCGGCAGCGGGGCATCACCTCCCTCTACCTGCTGGCCCGTCTCGCGGGCCGCCAGTTTAAGATCATCATGTCGACGCCGTGTGACCTCAGCAGGTTCTACGTCCCCAGCAAGGTCGACTGGCTGGTGACCGGGAACGAACTCGTGACCTCCTCCAGCATTGTCGTCAACGACATCTTCGACCAAGGCGTGGTCTCCCGCGTTGCGTCTGGGGACTTCAACGAACAGTTTCCCCAGGAGGTCATCTATGTCCAGTCTAACTCTGATTACTACGACAAGCTCAGGAAGAACTCAATTTATTCCACCTTGTTGAACCAGTGGGGAGGTCTCGTCAGGAGAAAGGCCAGATTCACCTGGGCCTGGCGTGACCTCATGAAGCCGTCCCCGTTACTGCTGACTCACCTTGAGCGCATCATGGGTTCCCCGTTCCTCATCAGAAAAGGGCTGGCCTCTCAGCCGCTGAATAAAGACCCCAAAATCCGGCCGATTTACGACTTGGGGAACTCCCCATTGATCTGCGGCCACGTGCGCATGGGCAAAAACCCCACCATTCCGATGGATGAAGCTCTTTCCTTTTTCACGCTGAACGATCTCCCGCTGCTGTACGACTTCCTGCAGGGGAAAGACAAAAACCGGGACGCGTTCTTCTTCGTGGCGTCCGATTTCGAGCAGGTCAGAGGCAAGTCCCGGGAAAGGTTCGGGGACCGCCTCATCGACTACGGCGGGAAGATCATCCACATCGACCGACAGAGGGGCGACCGGAAGGCCTGCGCCGGGTTTGAGGTGGCCCTCATGGACCAGCTGGTGCTGAGTCTGTGCGACGTCCTCGTCATCTGTAAGAGCGGGTTCAGCAAGTACGCCTCCTATCTCAGCAACACGTCGGAGCCGGTGTACATCTTGGAAGGCGGACAAATACACGAGTTCAAAGGTTAGGGGTCAGGGGGTTGTGGTTTTTTCGTCTTCTCTTCCTTGTACGGACGTAGTGGGGGAGTTATATTTTCCCCGCCTAAAGGATCATGTCTTGGCACGGAATATTCGGGAATCGTTTCATAATTTCTCGTGGTGAAGCCCGAGTTAATCTACGAAAATTAAAAAACCCCCTGAAACCCCCCCCCCCCCCAAATCCCCCACACTTTATTTGCACACTGACGTAGGTTATTTATCAATTCTACTAAGCCAACCACACGTTGAATGTGGTGAACACTAGCACATAACCCCTTGCAGACACCTCGCTCTCCGCCACACAAGGGCAACCCGTTCTGTTCGAGGACACGCCCACGCCACACAAGAACAACCCATCTAGTCCATGACACGGCGCCAGGCCACACAAGAACAACCCATCTAGTCCATGACACGGCGCCAGGCCACACAAGAACAACCCATCTAGTCCATGGCACGGCGCCAGTCCACACAAGAACAACCCATCTAGTCCATGACACGGCGCCAGTCCACACAAGAACAACCCATCTAGTCCATGGTACGGCGCCAGTCCACACAAGAACAACCCCTCTAGTCCATGGCACGGCGCCAGGCCACACAAGAACAACCCATCTAGTCCATGCCACGGCGCCAGGCCACACAAGAACAACCCATCTAGTCCATGACACGGCGCCAGTCCACACAAGAACAACCCATCTAGTCCATGGCACGGCGCCAGTCCACACAAGAACAACCCATCTAGTCCATGACACGGCGCCAGTCCACACAAGAACAACCCATCTAGTCCATGGCACGGCGCCAGGCCACACAAGAACGACCCATCTAGTCCATGACACGGCGAGCCAGTCCACACAAGAACAACCCATCTAGCCCATGGCACGGCGCCAGGCCACACAAGAACAACCCATCTAGTCCATGACACGGCGCCAGGCCACACAAGAACAACCCATCTAGTCCATGGCACGGCGCCAGTCCACACAAGAACAACCCGTCTAGTCCATGACACGGCGCCAGGCCACACAAGAACAACCCGTATAGGTCCAAGACATGGCGCCAGTCCACACAAGAGTAACCCGTCTGGGTCCAAGACATGGCGCCAGGCCACACAAGAGCAACCCGTCTAGGTCCATGAAACGGCGCCAGGCCTCACAAGAACAACCCGTCTAGGTCCAAGACATGGCGCCAGTCCACACAAGAGTAACCCGTCTGGGTCCAAGACATGGCGCCAGGCCACACAAGAGCAACCCGTCTAGGTCCATGAAACGGCGCCAGGCCTCACAAGAGCAACTCGTCTGGGTCCAAGACATGGCGCCAGGCCACGAAGTCTTAGATTACCGCTCGCATGCATGACACTTATTGTGGGGTGCACCCCTTGGAGTATATATCAGTTTTACTCAATGGACACAATTATCTACCTTGTACAGGAGTGTAGTGGTCAATTATTTCCCCTTTTCACAATTGGGTAGGGCTACATTCCCGCCAAATATATAACTGACCAATGGCAGGCTTCACTGCCTAGACTGTGTGGTTTTATCTATACACGCTCAACCTAACAAGTGCTGGGTCATTCAGTGCAAACATTTACTGGAGTCAAAGGTGATTCAGGTGTACAGTAATGAAATACCAGGTCATTCAGGTGTACAGTAATGAAATGCCAGGTGATTCAGGTGTACAGTAATGAAATGCCAGGTCATTCAGGTGTACAGTAATGAAATACCAGGTCATTCAATGTGTTTACTTGAAAATCCGTCAATGGATTATATCTTTTTTTTTTACAGCTAATCCTTTGAATTGCCGTGAATTAATATATATACTATTTAGCCGACTTTTAATTTTACTTTAAATCTTTAATAATATACAAACTAACCAATGGTAATAATTGGTAACGTGGCGTCCTTGGGGGACAATAGAATACTATCTTTTCTAGTTGACATATAAAAATAATAATGTATCAAAAGTTCATACTAATATATCAACAGTTCATACTAATAATAATATATCAAAAGTACATTTTAATATATCACAGATCATACAAATTTATCAACAGTTCATACCAATATATCAACAGTTCATACCAATATATCAACAGTTCATACCAATATATCAACAGTTGATACCAATATATCAACAGATCATAAAAATTTATCAACAGTTCATACCAATATATCAACAGTTCATACCAATATATCAACAGTTCATACCAATATATCAACAGTTCATACCAATATATCAACAGTTCATACTAATAATAATATATTAAAAGTACATTTTAATATATCAACAGTTCATACCAATATATCAACAGATCATACAAATTTATCAACAGTTCATACCAATATATCAATAGTTCATACCAATATATCAACAGATCATACAAATTTATCAACAGTTCATACCAATATATCAACAGTTCATACCAATATATCAACAGTTCATACCAATATATCAACAGTTCATACCAATATATCAACAGTTCATACCAATATATCAACAGATCATACAAATTTATCAACAGTTCATACCAATATATCAACAGTTCATACCAATATATCAACAGATCATACCAATATATCAACAGTTCATACCAATATATCAACAGTTCATACCAATATATCAACAGTTCATACTAATATATCAACAGTTCATACTAATAATAATATATTAAAAGTACATTTTAATATATCAACAGTTCATACCAATATATCAACAGTTCATACCAATATATCAACAGATCATACAAATTTATCAACAGTTCATACCAATATATCAACAGTTCATACCAATATATCAACAGTTCATACCATTATATCAACAGTTCATACCAATATATCAACAGATCATACAAATTTATCAACAGTTCATACCAATATATCAACAGTTCATACCAATATATCAACAGTTCATACCAATATATCAACAGTTCATACCAATATATCAACAG